GGCCTGGACCCTCCTCCAACTCGCCCGCGGAGAACAGGCAGGGTTCCTGCACACGCGGCACGACATCAGTGAGCTGCCCCCCCACCGCCACCTCCTCCTACAGCCAGAGATTATTCTGAAATTAGACCCTTTGTTGTCCAACATGAGGTCAACCTGGAACACCTCAGATAAGAGCCTTTAGCTTCAGGTTTATAAGCCTGGCAGGTTTCATTCTATCAGTCTGCAGCCATAAAAACTAATAAATCTGGTTCTTCTTGCTCAGATGGATCTAAAGCAGTCTGGACTGAAAAACTGCTGATAATCATCTTTCACAAACATCTTTAAAATATAATAATAATAATAATAATAATAAACTTCTGCTGAATATAATCATTAAATTAGTGTTTATTATAACAAACAACCTCATCAGCACATAAATAACATTAAAATCTAATAAACACCTGATTAAAATGATTTTATATAACATATWTAAACTTTATCTTTATATTTACATGTTTAAAAGTGTTTAGATTGTGATCCCAAAGGTTGTTGTTTGTGTTTTTTTGTCCAACATTAGCATAAAACTCATTATTAGCTGACTTCACTAATAAACAAGTCCTTCAGTCGTCTGTAGCCACAGACTCATTATTCCGGATATAAAACAGGAGAAAACTTACCCAGTAATCCATGTTGTCGATAAATAAAATGTCACCGGAAGTCTTGTTTTTGTTTACTTCACAAAAAGGAAAGAAGAATCCCGGCCGGCTGCCTGCTTTGTGTCCTCSGCTCACGTCTTCATGCTACTAAATAATCCCCTGAAACAAGCTAGCTCTGATTCAGGAAGCAGCGTCGGGTCTCACGTGGCTGCGCAGCGCCGTCTGCGCATGTCCAGATCTGACAACAATGTGTCCAGAAAAATCCCTGCGGGCCGTCAGCTCCGCATGATGTACAGATCAGTGACGTTAGCTAGCTGAGTGGTCGTGGCTTCTCCCTGTTTTATTACCTTCAAGTCCCAGAATTTCGCCTTTTTCTCTGAGAAAACAAGTTCAAAGTCTGAACTTATTCAAAGAATTATCTTTTTCCCCCACAAATACCAGAAAAAAGTCAGTTCTGTTTTGTCTTTTCAGAATTCCCAGGAAGAAGCCAGAATCCTCAGATTAAAGCCAGAATTATGATTTTAATTTGAGAATTCTGAGATTTAAGTCAGTGTGACCTTCAAGTCAGAACTCCTACTTTAATTAGAATCACAAAGGTCTAAAAAAATAGTGAATTTTGATATTATGTATTTACATTTTTTCAGAATTCTGATTTATTTTGATTTCAGAATGTCTGAATTCTGAGAAAATGGGGAAAAAAGTGACTGTGAATTTTTAGTTTCAAATCATTGTGAGCGTAATCTCAACATTCTGACATTAAAGTCGAGACACTGACTTAAATTCATTTGATTTTTTTTTTCAGATTTAAATCTCAGAACCTCTGAAGTCTGAGGAAAAAATGGAAAAAAAATTAACTATGAATTCTGATTAAAATCTGTGATCTTGATCGCAAAATCCAAAATATAAAACTCAGAATTCTGACTTTATTCTCAAAATTATTTGGGAAAAAAAGTCAAAACACTGAGGTTAAAATTGASATAATAACTTCTCCCATTAATCCTGGAAAAAATCTCAAACTCAAAATGTTTTCTTTTTTACTTTGACAGAGCGTAATGTTTGAGTTGTCTCGTTTTAAGATACTGTTGTGATTTTGACAAAACATCTTTGCACCAWAACTCTGATTYATRGTTTTTATACTGAGTCACAATCATYCAACACAAAGAAAACAAGACACGTCTTTGTTGTAGCAGTTTTCTCACTGACGCTGTCTCATCAGCTGCTGTCTCCAGTGTGAGAGGAGGGGACACCTGGAGACATCTCCAGTCCATCAGAGACACCTGGAGACATCTCCAGTCCATCAGGGACACCTGGAGACATCTCCAGTCCATCAGAGACACCTGGAGACATCTCCAGTCCATCGGGGACACCTGGAGACATCTCCAGTCCATCGGGGACACCTGGAG